GCAAACTTGTAGTTGCCAGGGGAGAAGTGGGGGCAGGTGGAGGGATAAATTAGGAGTTTGGGATTTACAGATACTAACTACTGTATATAAAATAGATAAACAGGGTCCTACCATATAGCACAAGGAACTATATTCAATAGTTTGTAATAACCTATAATGGAAAAGAACATATATATGTATATATAACTGAATCACTATGCTGTACACCAGAAGTTAATATAACATTGGAAACTGACTATACTTCAATTTAAAGAAAGAAACACATGGTAGTACAAAGTTGCATGATGACCTAAAATTATTTTCTCAAAGTCACATACAAGGTCAGAAACAAAGCCAAGATAAGCTCTTTAGAGTCACCACCACCAGACCATCACAAGGGAGTTTGGATTTCTGAAGACTAAATCTTTCACACAGATACTTGTAGAAAAGCATCAGATTGCTTCTGTAAACAGAACTGGCAAGAATATTATGATAATCACAGATCTTTTCATTAAGTTCCTAACTGGAAAAAGTTTTTTAAAAACTGGGGTTCTTTAAATCATTTCTCTGCAACTGCTGATGATCCTATGGTGACTTTTAAAGACAAGACACCGGAGGTGAGTGGGAGGTGCTTCCCTCCCTTGGGCAGATGGAGAGGGGCAGGCCCTGGGAGGCATACAAGCCAGCGAAGAACCGGTCACCTGCAGACCCAGCCAGGTCGCATCCTAGGGTCACCCAGTGCCTGGGGGCTCCAAGCTGGGGGAACACAAAGGCTGGCTTGGAGCCCTCATTATATCTGCTAATCTACAATGGGGCGTGGTTTGTAGCAGGGATCTCCCCGCCCCTGCAGTAATCCCTGCTTCTAATCTGACTGGATTAAGTGGGCACCAGGGTCAGATCAGAGGAGAGGGCTCATGTATGAGACTGAATCACTTAACTAAGACATCACATAGAAGGGTCCGAATTTCCAAAAGAAAAGGGACCACACTGCTAAGAAATAGCACCCAGCCAAGAGTTGCAAAACAAATGCCCGATGCAACCGACAGCTCTGGCTGAGTTCCTTCACTGTCTGCAGCCAGGCGGTCGGTCAGGCCATGTCCAGCCCCAGCTTAGGGCACAGAGAAGTCCAGGGAGAGATGAACAGCACGGTTCCTGACCCAGCTCCCAGCATCACAATGAGGCGTTTCAGTGCAGACTGTGCACCTGTTTGTGATGCTGAAATAATCGTTTGCGGGAGGTGGCGGGTAAAGCAGGGGGGCACCTGTGGAAATGCTCACTTGGGGACAAGAGGCAGCATTAGCCAGACTGCATCCTGTGCATCTTAAAAAGTTCACTACAGCAAGGGGTCAACTAGTGCAGCACAATCCATTTAGGCCGCGGTGGCTGCGCTGCAGGTTTAATCCAAGGCCTCCCCCTCCTAGCAGACCTGTCATCACCTGGTGCGGCGGGATGAGTCCTCCTCCAGGTGTCCGCGCACCGCAGGCACTGCCTGCCGAGCCGCCGGAGCCCAGGAGGGGATGCTTCCTGGCTTTGCACATGCCCAGGCTGAGGAGACAGGCTGGGTCTTGGTTCTCTTCTACAAGCCAACCACTCAGAGAGAGCAGGAGAGGAGGAGCCCACCGCCGTCCAGGCTCCCGATGAGTTATAAACAGGATGCTGAGCTGAGTGCTCCCACGCTGGGTGTACAGCGGCGTGTCCTCCTTAGGAGCACAGTGAGGTCCTCGGGATGGTGATAAGAAGAGAGTGGAGCCTTTTTTTCCAAAGCTGGGCTCCAGAGGGCCAAAGGCCTGCTGTGCGTTTTGCTCTCATCTGGAGGAATTCTGCCCTTACCTGCCCACCTGCTTTTTTCTCTATTTCCAAAGTAAGAACACAGTTTGCTGGGGAAAATGGTGAGCTGAGTGATGGTCTGATCAAAATATCTGGCACCACAGCCCCACTACTTAATAATGGCCTTCAACACCACACTGATTTTTATTTTAAAAAAAATCCAGTACTTCTCTCTAAAACCTCATGATACAGAAGTAAATCTCTTGTATCAAGAAAAACCTTAGACAAAGTCTCACACACCTGAGGGGTGGTTTCAGTTGTCTCAAGGAGTTGCTCCTTTCTGGTTTTGATGAGGACTTGTAACTGCAAGGCACAAAATATTAATAGATTAAGGTTCTGTTAAAAGAAGCTGGCCTGAGCTTTCATTCTACAGGTAAAGGCACAAAAAAATATCCTGGTTCCTCAGAATGTTAGAGTTACCATGTGATCCAGGATGCCACTGCTTGGTTTACACCCAAGAGAAATGAAAATATACGTCCACAGAGGAAACCCTGTGTGAGAATGTTCATAGTAGTGTTATTCATAATAGCCAAAAAGTAATGACCCAAATGTCCACCAGGTGCTTGCTTTGGTGGCACATATACTGAAAAAAAAAGTTGGAACAATACAGAGAAGATTAGCATGGCCAAATGTCCATCAAATGATAAATGGATAAAAAATGTGATATATCCATAAAATGGAATGTTACTCTGCAATGAAAAGAAATGAAGACTAGAAACATGCTATGACATGGATCAATCTTGAAAACCTTATATTAAAAGAAATAAGCCAGTTACAAAATTCCACATATTGTACGATTCCATTGATGTGAAATGTCCAGAGGCAATAAACCCACAGAGACAGAAAGCAGATTAGTGGTGGGCAGGGGCTGGAAGTAAAGGTGCTATTGGGTACAGTGTTCATCTTTAGGAGGTGACGGTTGAGCACGTCTAGGAATGTACTAAAAACCACTGGCTTGTATTGCTTTAAAAGGATGAATTTGATGGTATGTGCATTGTACCTCATCAAAAGCTGTTATTTCAAAACAGTTACATGGAAGCCTTCTCAGCTGTTTCTCTTCTGCTAGCCTTCCAAAGAGAGCCCTGCAAGTGCCTATTCCAGTTTCCCTGCCTCCTTCCTTCTGAAGGAAAGGGTTTGGGTTGATCAATATCTTAAGGGAATAAAGAGGAGGGAAAGGAAAGTGAGCGTGGAGATAAAAGCTGCCAGAGGAGGGGGTTTGGGCAAAGTGATGCAGCAGATAGTTGCTCTGGGGCTGTTGTAGGACTTGTGGGAACAGCGGCACAGGAAGGACATCCCCGTTGATGATGCTGGGTACCGCTCAAGTCGTCAAGAATTGCAGAAGGGGTTGAGCTATTTTGAAGTGTTTGGTTGTTGGTCTTCTTTTACCAGAACCATAAGAATCCTAGCTTTACAACAGTTACGTACGTTTGAAGATTTGTCTTAGTGGAAAAAGTATCCTTGGTTTTTAAGATAGTTGTGGTGAATCATGATCTTACCGTAAACTCTCCCAGACCACAGCCCCACTAAAATGGTCCATCCAGGGACCAAGTCAAGATGGTGAAAATGAATGTTTATAAGTGGTTTCTTGTTTATAATTTTAGGCTGTCATGTGATATAAATACTTGGACATATTTCAGGTTGTCATTAATGTAAGGTTATCAGAGATGTATTTGTCCACCCATTGATTTATTAATTCAATACAACTTTATAGAGTACTGTAGTAAGCAAGAGCAGTGTCCTTTATCTTTTGTTGTTGAGTTCTTTGTTGCTATTAAATATCAATCATACATTAAAAAAAACTTTGGTAAATATTTTTGCAATGTAATTTTAAATGTTGATAATTCACAAGTAGCCTGAGTATCTATTACAGTAATTATTTAACTTGTTAGGTAAGGGTGGGTTACAGGGAGATTTTTATTTGCTTCTCAATTTTTTTTTCTTGTAAAGAAATCACCTTGGCTGAAAAGGAAAAGGGGGAAGGAAAAAGACCAGGTGGAGTATTTGCTGTATCTTTAGCATTGCAATTCTTTAAAATTTCTGAAGCATGTGTATGAAAATGTTAATACTTGTTAAATATAGAGTTGGAAAAGTGGGTATTTTTTATATTCTCTTGTTTTCTATACTTTTCTGCGCATTTGAACATGTTCCTCAGTAAAAACGAAAACAGAAATGTTTGATTTGTGAAAGAAATCATCTGATAGTGGTGGTGGTTACACAAATCTATCAAATCTGTACCAATAATAAAAATTTTTTGGAACTGTACAGCAACCACAAAAGGAAAAAACAAGAACAGAAAATAAATGAGTGCTTGTAACTAGGACCATCTTAATAATGTGTGTAGTTTAGTTTGAGCCAATATCCGTGTTCTGGTTTGGATTATTGATTGATCATTCGATACATAACTAGGATTATATAAAACATTAGTAATAGAAATGAAACTATACACAAAACAGAAAAAGACTCACATAGAAAGCAAATTTATGGCTACCAGAAAG